CTTCATGATTTCTCCAAACCAAAAAGTAGAGACAGACACAGTTCTAGAAATTTAAATATCATTTTGTCCTATCTCCATAAATTAAATAGCAGAGATTCAGTGCAGGGATAGGGCTTACAGTTTGAAGATGTTTTTAGTGTAGCTGTGTTCTAAACTGTGGATCTGGCACTGGCATCAACAATAAAGTGACGGAAACTCACCTTTCAGCAATTCCATTTTTCACAGTAAGGTGTGCAAAGATTGTCTGTATGGATTTTAACTACAGTAAAAGAGAAGGGAGACTGAAACAAACCTGCAATGCTGCAAGAAAGGCTGACAGCAACAAAACAAAAAGCATTTCTCAGCAGTTGCTGTTGATGTCACCCATTTGATCTATGCTCATATTGAATTTAACAGTGGATTTAGCATCAGGAAAAGGACATCTATTAATGTATCTTTATTTGTGCTTTCTTTTAAAGGAGCTAGTTTGAAGAAAAGATGAGTTGGGCAATAAATCAGATGGATGATGTACTTTGTGTTATTCTCAGAGCAGAAGCACATAGCTTTGCTGAGTAACCCAGTGTTCTACAAGATGTGATTGCTTTTCAGACAAAACACACTTTTGGAAGGTGTCCAGCTGCAGTACTTGTGTCTATGAGTGTCAAAATACTTCAACCAAGATAGATTTCTTCCTTTAAGACAGCTGAAGTCACTGGTTGAACACTCAGAGAAGTAACTTTACTATTTAAGACTACCTAAGTCTTAGCCTTATTTTGCTGATACCCACCGAAAGCCTCTGACATAACTTTTACTGAATCTTCTGTGAGGTTAAGTCATGTCAGATGCCATGTTAATCACTTGGAATTAAGGCTGCTCAGAACTGAAGGCACAGGATTCATCACAGCATTTAACCATGGAGAGATAATGATAAAACTCACAGGGATACGGGCGAGTCTGTAAGCCAGACAATTGATTTTTTCAAGTAAAAATACAGGAAATGAGATTATGAATGCCTAATTAACGCCTTTGGGACACAACATCTTTTGCTAAGACCACTCAGTTTTGGAAGTTTTTCAATTCAGATCCCAAATATTAGCTTTTCAGTTATCAGTGAGTGCCTTCAAACTTGAATGGAAGCACGTAAAAAAAAAAGTGTTCATCTTGTCAAGTGCAGCCATGCCCTCCTGTGGCTCCTTCCCAGATGCAGGACAAAGTATTCAGCTGCTTCAGCCTCTGACACTGCCAATAACACTGAACACTGTGTTAAACTAACAGACAGGTTTTTGCTCTTCTCTCTTACACGCAGTCAGCAGAAACAGAACAGTTTTGGCACTTCATTAGAACAGCTTTACACTGAACATTCAGACCATCCCTGTCCTCCACTAAACAGAGAGGGTAGAACAGGGATTTACGCTCCTGCAGACTTGGAGCCCCAAAGTGATTTAAAAGCCCTTGTCTAGAACATCGGGAAGCCTAATAGCTAGTGATAATTTCATCAGCCTAACATTTTTAATTAATAAACAAAAAAGCTGCACATAACTGTTTATGTTCCACTATTTTCCCCAACCTACACCTTATTCCAACACCACTCCAACAGTAAGAAAAGCATAGCTGTGTTAGCTGTCTCCCTTTCTGTCTCGTAGAGTGTGTCCTTAACAGAGAAGAAAGCACAAAGAAAGTGCCTTACAGCTTTCTTATATTCAGTTTGGAATTTTAAATGTAAACTACTGAACCCAACAAACAATTCTTGTTCATCCCAAATTCCTAAGCACGAAAGTGGCTTGCTTGACACTTACTAAAATCTATTAAGAATGGATCCAATTATCAAGCTCCAACATTGGAAATTCTTGAGAGCTTTGATGCCCAGCAATTAATTCAGAATCTTCAGCAAGCCGACATTCCATCTGGGAAAGGTTGTTTTTCTGTGATAAGCAGGACATCTGGAGCCTAAAAGCAGAGTCTCAGCGTTCCACAAGCTGTGGAGATGTACACCGTGCCCTGCTTGGGCTGGTACTACAGGCACCACAACATTATAATTAGTCAGCAGCCAATTTCTGTGAGTAGTCTGTGACCAAATGAGGGTTGTGACCTATTTAGCTTACGACCTTTTGGCTGGATAGCATCTCCCAGTTGAACCCAACGACCACCCCTTGCAAAAACCCCACATTAACACAGTGCATGTGTAGCATTAGATGTTAATATGGATAGCAATTCTTGGAATTCACAGAAAATGCATGAATATTTGCATACTGAATGTATCTGTGTGTTTTTTAGCTCCTGTGAGTGCATGCAAGGAGAGAGATCCCGTGTGCACTCAGTGCTGCAGTAAGCTGCCATCAGCTTTCATCATGTAGGTGAGTTGACAAACCAATCCTGATTTTTTAATAACAAGGGATTATAAATGCAAATGCAAAGCCCAGTAGTGTCCAATTTCCTTCAGGTATCTGGATGCTTTTGAAAAACCCCCAACTTCATCAAGCCTTCAGTTCTGAAGGGCCAAGGTAGACATTTGGAAGGTAGATAAAGGATTGATTTATTGTCTGTGGCCACATCCCAGCACTTATTGCATTTATGATATTAACTCTGATCTTGTGAACTGCCAACTTGGAGCACCATGACAACATTCTTTTTACGTTTCAAAATATTCAGGTGAACGTCAGTGGGTGCAGATTAGTCTCATTGCTGTGGTTGATCTCAGCCCATTGATGTAGCCTATCCATACCACTCTGCAGAGCCTTCCTGGTTTCTGCAAACTTACTGAGGGTGCACTCGGTCATTCACTGTTAAAGAAAGCTATATAAAAAATACTTAAAATACTAAAAAAGAGCAACAAAAACGTCACACCAGTAGGATATGTGACCAGGTTTTTGTGACACTGCTGCATCAGGCTGGTTTGATGGCAGTGGCTGCAATTCTCACTGAGCTCTGAGGCATTCATCAGAGATTTCTGATGACATTTTACTCTCCCTGTGCTTCATCCTTGAAAACAGTTCTTCTCAAATGTCTGTACTGCCAGAAAGTGATGACTTGATGAGGCAGATTGTGCAGCGAGAGGTGTTTCTCTCTGGTAGAGAAACATGATCAGATTCTTGAGTTGAATATCTCATTTTCTCTCCATCTGAAAATTCACGGATTCATGGTATTTATGTCGACTGAAAATCGAGTCACAAATATACCCAAAAAATTGATTTTTATTTTTTTTCCAATCTTGAAACCTCTTCTCAAATTCCTTTGTCAAAATAGAAAGCACTGCTGCATGTTTTTCTCAGCTCACGGGCTCCTTTCACTTGCTCTTTTATGGACAGAAACCATTAAAGCTGCCTAAAGACAGTAATACAGGCCCTACCTCGGCCACTGGCAGCTTCTCACAATAGCAAAGACTTTCTGAATATATTATTCTTCTGGTATAAAACTCCCTATTTCTACTGGTTCACTGCTCTTCTACATTCCAGCAAAGGGATATGCATCCTACAGGTACAGATATTACAACAGAATCATAGAATCATTCAGGTTGGAAAAGACCTTAAAGATCATCGAGTCCAACCACGACCTAACCATACTACCCTAACTCCAACAACCCTCTGCTAAATCACATCCCTGAGCACGACATCCAAATGGTTTCTAAACACATCCAGGGATGGTGACTCAACCACCTCCCTGAGGAGCCCATTCCAGTGCTTAACACCACTTTCTGTAAAGAAGTGTTTCCTGATATCCAACCTAAACCTCCTCTGGCACAACTTGAGGCCTTTTCCCTTCATCCTGTCACCTGTGAGAAGAGACCAACCCTGCTCTCACTGTAAGCACCTTTCAGGTATTGGAAGAGAGTAATAAGGTCTCCCCTCAGCCTCCTTTTCTCTAGACTAAACAGCCTCAGCTCCTTCAGTCTCTCCTTGTTGTTGGATGCCAAGGGCAGCTTGGTGACCAAGGATAAGGACAAGGCTGAAGTACCTAATGCCTTCTTTGCCTCAGCCTTTAATAGTAAGACTTGTTACAATGCAGTGATTATCACTGTTGTTGTTGTTATTTAAAAATATATATACTGAACACGGAAGAATGGCTCACACTACCAGAAAACTGGATTTCCCTGGGATGGGCTTAACAGCACATAATATTTTCTCTTAGATGCCAAAGTCTCAAAGGGCCTCTCCCTTACAAATTGAGCCTTTAATACCGTGTTTTCAGTTTTTGCAGAATTCTTCTCAATAGCTTTTATTCTGAGGAAACAACCAAAGAAAAACCCACATACTTGCTCTGACAGCAACAGAGTTGTGGACTCAGATTCCAGGACTTTTTTTTGTAAAAGTGGCCTCACCAGGGCAGGTCACCTCCCTCACCTGCTGCCCAGCGCTCTTAGTGACGCACCCCAGGATCCCACCGGCCCTCCTGGGCACTGCTGGCTCATGGACCGCCTGCTGGCCACCGGGACCCGCGGGTCCTTCCACACAGAGCTCCTCTCCATCAGGTCATCCATCCCCTAACCTGTACTGATACATGTGGTTATTCCTCCCCAGGTGTCAGACTCCACTCCTGCTCGTGTTAAATCTCTTCAGTTCCTCCCTGCCCACCTCTGCAGCCTGTCCACGTCTCACTGCACGGCAGCACAGCCTCAAATGCCTCATATTCCTGCTGGACTGAAGTCAGGCCGTTACTCTTGTAAGCCCTATGAGGTGAAACACAATTAGTAAACGCTCTGCAGACTCATTTTAACCCTCAAAACATCAAACTACCTCACGGCTCAGAAGCAGAGGCAGCCACCTTCATCCCCATCTATCTGGAAACGTGGGTGTTTCAGTTACACATTCACACACCGCACCTCCCCGTCTGGTCCAAAAGACACGGAAAGAACCGGCCCCGCTCCCTCACGAACTCCAACTCCCGGCAGCCCTCAGTGCGCCCAGCCCCGCCCCCCTTCCCGCCATCCCGCCCCCTTCCCGCCCTTCGGCCGGCGCTGCTGAAACCCCGTGCGTGCGGCCCAGCCGCTCTTTCTGCGCGCCGCCATTCTGCGAGCAGGACGCGGCCGAGCTCCGCTCCGTTGCCGCGCGTGGCCCCGGCCCGGCCGCCCCTCACCGCCTCTCTCCCGCGGGTGCCGGCCTCGACATGCAGATCTTCGTGAAGACCCTCACGGGGAAGACCATCACCCTCGAGGTGAAGTCCCGTAGCGCCGTGCCGGCTGAGGGCGGGCGGCGGTCCGGCAAGGCCTCGCTGCGGCAGGGCGGGCGGTGCGGGCCGGGCCGGTTGAAGGCAGGCTGCGTGCTCGGCTTGTTGCGGGCTTTTTTTGTTTGTTTGTTTTTCTCCATCGCTTTGTTTCACCACAGGTCGAGCCCTCTGATACTATAGAGAATGTGAAAGCTAAGATCCAGGATAAGGAAGGTGAGTTGAAGACGCTTCTGGCATCCCGCTCTCACTCAGATCCACGTGTGGTTCGCGTTGCTTATCCCTTCTCGCTGTGTCTCGCTGGTAGGAATTCCTCCTGATCAGCAGCGACTGATTTTCGCTGGGAAGCAGCTGGAAGATGGCCGCACGCTGTCTGACTACAACATCCAGAAAGTGAGTAGGAAGCGCTGAGTTGAGCCACGGGAACGGGCTGTGTCTGTGCTGCTCTCAGTGCTCCACCCACACTGAGCCTCGCTGGCACTCCTGGCTTGATGCAGCCCGTAGCTGCAGGTCAGAAGCAAAACGTTTCCAACAGCTTGCATTGCTTCTGCTCCGTCAGCCCTGGCTCTTGGTGCTGCGACTTTAAATTGCTGCACAGTGCTGCCAGGTTAACCTCACTGTGAGGCCAGGTGCGCAGTGGTGCCACTAAGAAGTGGAAGAACAATTCACCATTTTCAGCAACAAGTTAGCTTGGTTGCATCGTGAAACTGTTCTGAAGTTTCAGATAGAAATGAGGAATGTAGACACAACAAATTAAAAATTATTTAGCCCTTTTGGGCTTTGGAGTGCAGCAGCACGTGGTTCTGTGGAGCAGGTTCGTTTGCAGACTAAATGGCAAAAAATCCTTTTAGAACTTTCATAGTTAGCTGGAACTTGAAATCCTGCTACTTAAATACTCTTGTAGATGAAAGAAAAAACCTGCTGAAATACTACTGTGCTTGAGAAAGCGTTTTGTGTATTTCATAAACAGGAATCAACTCTTCACCTTGTGCTGAGACTGCGTGGTGGTGCTAAGAAAAGGAAGAAGAAGTCTTACACCACCCCCAAGAAGAACAAGCACAAGAGGAAGAAGGTTAAACTTGCCGTGCTCAAGTACTACAAGGTATGTAGAGCCCTCTTGAGGAGGGTTGGCAAAGCATAGGCCTCACTGCAAGAGGGACTGGATATAGCATGTGAAGCCTGTAACTAGCCTGGGTGTCACCAGGTGTATTTAAAATCCTATTTGCAACTATCCCATCTGATACATTGACTGCTACAGTCAGGCACTGTTGAACTTTGCTTTGACAATTCTGACAGAGGAACATTTACAGAAAATACTTTGTAGAAGAAAAGTACTTGAAAATAACTAGTGCTGAATGTGGCAAGTACAGGTGAGGTGTGGCCTCTTTGTCCTTGGCAGGTGGATGAGAACGGCAAGATCAGTCGTCTGCGCCGAGAGTGCCCTTCTGAGGAGTGTGGGGCGGGAGTCTTCATGGCCAGCCACTTCGACAGACACTACTGTGGCAAGTGCTGTCTGACGTACTGCTTCAATAAACCTGAAGACAAGTAAATGTACTAGACAATAAAAATCTCAGATTCTAGACTGCGTGAGGATTTATTTCTGCATGGTGTTTCTTCTCTGCTAAGCTAGAAGGGTTTTAAATTCTGGATGTCGCTACCACCTCCAGTGAAGTCATTTCAGTCTGGAGCTGAAGCACCAACTTGATGAGTGCCTTTGATTAAGATGTTTTTTGTAGCTCTAGAATGCAGCAATATCATAACGCTAGATAATCTTCCAGAAAAATTTTCCTCTCTAAGTCATTCAGTAATCCTGTGACTGGAGAAGACATAATACAAACCATTTCTTATAGGCTACTTATTAACCAAAGGTGGTGGTTTGTCAGGTAAAATGTTGCATTTTTTAACTCATATTTAAGATTGAGCTATAGTATCTGCTGCATGGAATATACCTGTGTGAAAACACCAGCTCTTAAAAGAGCAGAATGCTGTTTTTTTTTAATTTAAATTTTATTCTATGCCTTTTTAAGGTAAGTCTCCCAAAAAAATGAGGTGAAATCCTGCAGACCTCAATGGCCAAAGTCCTGTCCACCTCTACTTGTGTGGCTCATCTATGTACTACTTAAGATTCAGTGTATGAAATGCACATTTTGGAAACACTCCTAAGCTTACCAAAATATTCTTATTTCTGGTCAGCTCTGACAGTGATTTTTGAGCTGTTTTTCATAGCATCTGCAAAATGTGAGTAAATTAGTCCTGGAATTGGTTTTGTAGGAGCAGAGTTTGCATTTTATAAAGAAAGACGGGGTAGTGGTGACAGATGAGAAAAAACTTCTAAGTAAGTGGCCTGTTTAAATAGGAACTGAGAAGACAGATGGTACTACTGCAGTTCTGACCAGGAAAATCAGGACAGAAAAAAATTGAAGTCACATTTCTGTGCTAGAGGCTGAGGGCAGACCTCACAAAGCTGACAACGTTCTGAAAAATGGTACAGTACCAGTGTGGGGGAAGAAGGCTGCTCAGAAACCTAGAGACAAGCATCAGAAATAGCTGTACCTTGTTTCACAAACATGAAGTGCTCGTCATTAGTGTAATCTTGTGTTCCAAGGACATAAACTGACTGGTGGATGAGGTTTGAGAGTGGAACAACACAGAAGCAGCAGATACAGGGACACAGTTTTTTCCATAACTAAGTTCATTTAATGTTAAAGAGTTCAAGGCAGGAATAGGACACGACCTTTAGCGTTAGGTATCCAACCCTGTTTTAAAACCCTGGATTCCAGGAAGTTGTCTGTTGAATTTCTTTTTCTTCATAACAGATGATTTCATCTCCAATATTGAATTCCATATGCTTGTCCAAACTTAATCCACAATCCATACCTGTTTTTATTACCTGGACATTATCTTTATGATGCTTCAGTGATGATAAAGATCCTAGAGAGAAAAGGAGAGGCAGAGTCCACTAACAACATCAGCATGGAGATGCTTGGCGTTCCCTGTCTTACCTTGTTAAGATTTTAGATGTAGCTGAAAATGAAAGCAAGAAATCCTAGGGATGATGAGCACGTGCAGCTAATGGAAGTCAGGCAGCAGAGCTTTTTAGTGGGTGAATCTGGGCTGCTGCTGATTTTCTATCAGGGATGGTGGCTTGGAACAGGTATGACAACCACCACTTTTCTGTACTTGGAATAATTCCATTCTGAACAGCACATCTGACAACTACAACTAGATGCACACCTTTTACACTCATTTCACAGGAACCAGTACTTGTGGACAGGGCCATCCTGCTTACCTTTCCAAATAACATTCCCTTTACGGATCAACTTAAATTTCATCTTCTTGTCCAGCTGCCCTTTCTGTACTCTGCACCCAGCTACTGGAACTTTGTTTTTTCCTACTGTTACAGAGAAGATGTCGAGAACAGAAGCTTCCCCTTAAAAAAAAATAAAATAAAATTAAGTAAAACCAAGTTACACTATTCCACTTACCAAAGCTCTTTACCAAAACAGGAAAACTGCTATAGAGAAGGATTAAATATCTGATAACAGCAGGAACATTTTATTGGAGAATAGATGTGAGGCTGCAAAAATGTAATTGAACAGTCAGTGAAAACTCACCTATTGTGTTTTCCACCACGGATGGGGGTAGTCTGCTACTCAGCTCATCTTTCAAATCCTCAATAAGTTTGTAGATGATGTTGTGCAGTTTAATTTTTACTCCCTTTTTAGCAGCCATCTTTTTAATAGTTTCATTTGCTTTCACGCTGAATCCATAAACAACACCTGTCAAACATAACAATCAGCAACTGATCACCAAGAATGACTTTTTAAAGTGAGCGAAAGCATTTGCCACCTCCTGAATGTCAGACTGGTAACAGTTCAGTTTCTGCTAACTGTAAATTTATCTTTAAACATACACTCACCATTAAATGTTTCAGCAAGGCTTAGATCAGTTTCACTGATATCTCCCATTCCAAAATGAATGACATCCAATTTACACTCATCATCTGCATCATAGCTGTCCAGAACATTCAGAATAGCTTCCACAGATCCATCCACATCACCTGTGTGTGTAAATGGCAGCGCTGCTGACCTCATATAAACAGTGTGATACTGGAGAATTAAGGCAACTCTACCTTGTGCAAAATAACCCACATCTACTTAGTACTCTCTTCATGTTTCTTGCAGTACTTTAAAGCACATCTGAAAAGCCTCTTCATTACAAAAGTGGAATACATATAATAGGACCAGAAGCTCCACACCTACTGTTCAGGTCAAGTTTGTGTAGTTTCTCAGCTGTTACTTTTAATGCACACACAGTACTGTACAGGTGGTCAAACCGACTAATATGTAGCTGTTCTTTTCCTCTGGTCTGCTAATGCAGTACTGCTGCTCAAACAGCCTGCTTACACACACATGCATGTGCACCCACAGCACTTCCACTGACCTGCTTTCCTTACTGATGGATGTTCAATACTCTGTTCAGTTTTAAACTGATCAAACTTCTGGTAACTGAAGTTTTGCTAATGCTTCAGAACTATGCTGCAGACTGAGCATCTAAGAAGCACAGAACCAATGCAGTAGTAAACAGAACAGGAGAGCACCTTTAATGATTATGGACAGCACATTTTCGTCCGTTTCTGCTCTCTCTTTCGGCTTTAAGGGCATGAGATGCTTGCTGGCCTTGTACAGGGCTGCCTTTCTCTGTCTCCAGGTCAAATGGGCTAAATTCTGTAGCTTCTTCTCATATTCCATTCTGTGTTCCTTTTGCTTTGCTTCAATAACTTCTCCGTCCTTTTTCATCTTCTCTTGTTGTTCAACATATGTTCTCCAGGCCACAACTTCATGTGCCCTTTGCTGGGCATGAAAAAAATAAAGACATCGCCTTTCAAATCACTGCACTGAAAATCTCCCCCTTAACCCCATTTTATCCTTTTGTTTCTTCTGTCAAACCAGCTCATAAAATTACAACACAGATACGGTTCAGCACTGGATTGTTCTCCAGGTAAAGCCACATCATGGTCACATAAAAGAGAAAACAGCCTTTCTGAAAGCAGAGACACTAAACATATCCCAGGTTAACTCTGAAACAGCCCGACTCAGGCCTTAATGCCCATCTTTCACCAGTTTATGCTGGGTGTTTAGAAGATGTATGTATTTTCTGAATATGTATATTCTACATACAAACAAAGAAAACCCTTATGTCCTTCCTTCTCATCTTTCTGCAGTATGACTTTCCCCATTACACAGTTCTTTCTGTACCTCAGATTCCACTTCAAGGATTTCATCTCCTGCTGAAGGAACTTCCTTCCAGCCCATGATTTCCACTGGGATGCTGGGAGAGGCTGCATCCACAGCTTTGCCATTCTCATCGAACATGAAACGCACTTTTGCCCAGGTCTTCCCTGCAACCAGAACACAGCCTTTCCTCAGAGTTCCTCTTTGGATGATGGCTGTGGTAACTGGACTAGCGGAAAGCAGAGGGGGGAAAAAAAAGAACAGACCAAATTCAAGTAACTCTCCATTAACTGAAGTAGCCAGGGTTATCACAGGTAAGTCAGCATAAAGAAATGTTTTGGTGATCGACCACAGGCAGAACATTGCTGTGACACCTTCTATGAGCAAGCTAAGAAAAATTTAAAGTGACTTGTAATGATAACCAAATCCGGGCTGCACTCCTCATTTCTGCAGATTAACACAAGATTTGACATCTTCAATCTTTCAGTAACTTTGCATGAAGTGAATCCCTGCTCCTCCTCACTCAAAAAAAAACAAACAAAAACCACCAAACAAAAGCCAACCCAACTTCTCAACCTTCAGTTTATTTTTAAAGAGGGGAGAACACACCTTCTTAAAAGAGAACATGCAAAAGGACTGCAGCAGTTCGAGAGCAAAATGTCAGACCTTTTTTACAGATTGTGCCATATTTGTGACATTTTAACTATGAACACTGCCAGCTCTACTTCTCAGTGATGCTGAAATGCTAAAACAGATTATGTTTTGAAAATATTTCCTGAACTTACAGGATTTCATTTTAGTAATACAACGATTTGAGCTCAAGCACTTTATGAATGCCTTTTCTGTACACGATGCTGTAGAATTATGATTTCATTAGCTACAGTTTTATGCGTTTTGTTTTGTTTTGGTTTTTTTAAGTACAACTTTAAACCTAAAAATTTAGGTAAGGACCACCTACACAGTATTGATGCACTGTTACAAACTTCTTCATTGAAGTTGTAAAGAACACAGAACTTACCCTTTCCCTTTGTCTTTGCGAGACTCAACGATGGTCCCCTCTACCAGACCTGTGTAATCTGCCTTCAGTTCTAACATCTCAGCCAAAGCAACGGTTGCTTCTGCCAAAACTGTCAGGTTGTCACCCTGTATGGGACAAAACAAAACAGAAGTAAGGTAATGCACAAATTAAAAGGATCCGAAGTCGAAATCAGCACTACGATCTGCCATTCAGTTCAGAACTTGTGACAACACAGTACCAACAGCACAGATGGCAGCAAAGTAAACAACGTGACAGGCTGCTCGGGCTGCTGCTCCATTCTGCAAGGCACATTAGTAAGCACAGTTTG